GCCTCTCAGAGTGCCAAGCCTCAGTTTCTCTCTGCCACCCCTTCACACTGTCAACACCAGAATCATGCAGGGGACTCTTATACATTACCAGGTCCTGCTTTCAGCTAGAGATGGAGGCTCGGGTCCCCTCTCAACCACAGCTTCTGTGTGTCGACCCTGAGGAAATACTTCCCAGAAGATTTCACCACAGTGATGCTGGTCTCTTGTTACTTAGAACTGATTTTTCAGCCCCAGATAACCAGCATCTATTGTCCCAGTAAAGCAAAGGTTTTACTTCAGGTTCTGGTCTCAATCACAGCTGATTCTTCAGCCCTAGTTGACCAGAACCCACAGTCTAAATTCAAAATATCATGCAAACAGCCCTGATAGTCTTTGCTTCCCTTTGAAGCTTCACAAGCCAGGCCTCCATTTTTCACAATTCTTTCACCATAACTGTTCCAAGCTCCACAGCAACAAACTCTAAGCACTCAATGGCTTTTTCAGCCCAAAATTCTGGCTTCCACAATCCTCCTAAAAATACCAAGGTCAGGTCTGTCACAGCAATACCCCACTCTCTGGTACCAATTTCTGTTCTGGTTTGTTTCTCCATTGCTGTGACAAAATGCTCTGACCACTACCAACTTGGGGAGGAAAGGGTTTATTTGGCTTACATCTCCTGGGTCACAGTTCATCAGGGAGCCCAAAGTAGGAAGGTACTCAGGGCAGGAACCTGGACGTAGGAGCTGAAGCAGAGATCATGGAGGAATGCTGCTTACTGGCTTGCTCCCCTGGCCCCCTGCACAGTTTGCTTTCTTATGCAACAGAGGCCCACCTGCCCAGGGATGGCACCACCCACAGTGAGCTGGGCCCTCCCACATCACTCAACAATCAAGAAGATGCCCCACAGACATGGCCACAGGCCAATTCTATGGCGGCAATTCCCCAATTGAGGCTTCCTCAACCCAGGTGTGTCATCAACACTAAAGCTATCCAGTACACATACACATAAAATAAAAATAAATCAAAAAACTTTTAAAAAATAGATTTAAAATAAATAATTAAGACCTTGTATGCCTCCACTGCTCACCTGCTTCTCCATCCTATTAATTTGAGCTCCTTATATCTTCTCCCAGCTATTGATCCTGTCTGGCTCCATCCTCTTTCCATCATATATATTGCACTCTGATTATATTATATTCCTGTTTCCTACTTCTGTGCCCAAATGCCCACTCCTACTCCTAATCTTTTCACACCACTCATTATGGTATAACCAAGCTGAAAAAAATTCCCCATGAAGTGCTACGTGAACTCCTTGGTTCAACATTATACATCTTCTGGCTCCAAATTCTTGGATTCCATTTGGGTCTCTCTGACACTGTTCTTGATCTACTTGTTGTTGCTGTGTGTTGTGTTCTTTCTCCCTAAACAATACAGCTTTGAGCATGGTAGATGCTTAATAAATGTAGAAAAATTCATTTTGCAGTGGAGGAATGAGAACTATCCATTAAGATGTTGGGGATCTAAAGCATATTTACAGAGCCTTCCCCACAGAAAATGGGTTACTGTTTGTTATGAGGATCTTGAAAAATAACTCGACCCACTAGGTATAATTTAATGTGTCTTATGTACAGATAGAAATAGCATTCTGAAAATTGGCCTATAGCTCTCAATTAGAATATACAGATAAATACCATTTATTATATATACTATATGTACTATATTGCTGGCTCTAGGATTGCGATCCAAATCAGTTTTGTGGTACTGGATGGTTCTAGAATCTACTGAATAATTCATAATGCAAATAAAAATACTGTATCTTTTCCTGGTTGAGAACTTACAAAGAGAACACTTAAAGTCATGACTGTGAACATGTTTATGAATGCACTTGTATAGGAGACATGCATGTAGTTACTTTGCAAACTGCTCTGTAAGTCTACAACTTATAAATGAGAATGCTATTTCATGGAACTTGAACACCTGATCCTTTCTCCCCTTCTCAAAGTCTGTGGATCAATCTGACGAGAAAAGTTAAACTGGGCATTTGAGAAGACTTTTAGGGCATTACTGATTAGGCCTATGACTATCACTGGCAGTCTCTCAAGGTATTCACTGGCATCAGCTGGGGCCATCACTGGTTAGTTATTTGCATGCATAGGAGCATTCATAAATTTGTCATTTCTGAGTCATGAGTGTGTGTTGGTGTATGTGCATGCATGTTTATGTAGGTGTGTTATGACCTATATCTAGGAACCTTTTCATTAGCAAGTGAGCACATCTATTTTAGTTAACTTTACAGAAATATTCAAAAATAACTCAAATATCACCAGATTTTGGAAAAGGGCTTACAGTAAGGCAAATGTTACACTAGGTGAGACTTAAGCTAACTAGGGGAAAAAATGAATTATTTAGAGAAGATTCTTGAAAACTTTACTTGAGTGACTTTGAAAGGCACAGAAAATATCTCTGAATGCAATCTTCTCTTAATTTGTATTGCTTAAGTCAGAACTAATTGTTCCCTCATGAGAGAGTTGACATTAGTGGTTCCCATGTAAGACAATTAGTAAAGGTATATGCTCACAAATAAGTGAGTTTTACATGTGGTATCTAAAGTGCATATACACAAATGCAGTATTAGATGCAAAGTGTAGTTAATGGCTAACAAATGTTTGAAATTCAAAGCAATTCCAGTAAAGGGGAATGAAATGAGTCCATGTTATATTCATTAGGCAAATGGCCTCAAATATTTGCGATGCTTCCCAAACGTTCAGTGAATTGCTGGCTTTGGCATGTTGCAATTTTGTTTCCAAAAAAAATTATGTAGAAAATTCAATAGAAGTCATCAAAACGATATACTACAGAATGGTATGTGAAGAATACCATTTCAATCTATGAATAAAGACTTTAAAATGAGAAATAGGAGAATGCTCTCGGTGTTTTTTCTCAGGATATATATAAAGTATAATTCAGGAAATGAAGTCATGTGATTAGAAAATATTAACATTCCTCATTACTGTGCCATGGTCATTTTTTTTTAATGGTTTGGATAGTTCCTTTATAAGTCCCTTACGTAAACTCTTCTGGAAAACTTTGAAGCTGTCTGTGAATTTTACGTGGTTGTTTGTAACCACACAGCAAAAGATATGCCACTGTTTGATTTTTGCCTTGAGTTTGCAAGTTTAAAAAACATTGCATCACGTTGTTCATTGGGTTCTCTGAAGGAGTTTAGGGTTTTGAGTTTAAATTCTAATGCTGTCCTTTTTCCACCATTTCAGTGTGCCATTGGCTTTTTACAAGTATTTTTCAGTTGTGGATGCTGGAGAAAATTAAATAAACCTTAATAAAAATAATTTTGTCCAGGTGGTATATAAATCAGTTGAGGAAATAGTTCTTTGTGGCAAATAGAAAACATGTGTATTACCTATTGCTCTGAAATGTTATTATTTAACAAATGAATGTTATAGATGTGTCAAGGTCTGACTACATGAGGCAGAGGAACCTTTGCAGAGCACTCCAATATTGCAATTTTTGCCTAATATAAAATAATTAGAAACAAATATATGAGGAAATATAGATATATAAATTAGTTGAAGCCAAAGTTCATTTCAAGGGTACATGGGTATTTTCCCATTAGGAAGATTTTTTGCTATTTTCTCTTCATATAGTTTGTTATAATTTGTTTAATGCTGTGGAATATTATTGTCAAACTCCATTGAAGAATTCATAAATAAAAACTACAATGCACACCATAACTAGAAAAATATCTCATTACCAATGTAATATGAAAGTAGTATGACTATCTAATTACTTACATATTTCTATATATATAAGTATATATCCAAAATATCTTTTTATTTGAATAATTACTGTGATGTGTACAATAATTTCTCTTGTTAGGAAGAGGAATTTTTATCTGTACCCTTTTTTCATTTGTGTGTACAAATTATGCTATTTCAATTTTCTTATTAATATATTTTATAATTTTATGGCTATTCTATATATTTTGCTTCCCAGTTTAATTACTGCTTAAAAATGGTTGTTAACCTTTCTTAAACTATCCCTGTAACATAAGACATTTAGGTAAATTAAAAGTGATTTTAAACAAAGGAATGAATTTATTTATGTTATAGATGTGTCAAGATCTGAATACACTGTTTACCATTGTGTTATCATATATGTTAGAGAGTCTAAGTAATTGATGCAAGAATGTAAAAAATCTGACAATGTTACAGCTTGTTGGTTTCATCTTTTTTCCATATTCTCTTAATTCTGGGGGTATTTCTATTTTTACATCAACTTGGCATCAGAGCAAGGTGTTCTGGGCTTCACTGAATGTAGGTGAAAATAAAATTTTCTCATCGTGTACACCATTGTGTGCACAGGAAAGAAATATTTCAACTTAAATTTCTGAAATATTTCTCAAGCATTATCTCTGTGCTTAAAATATTCCTTGATTTAAACAGGCTCCTTACAGTATATCCCAAAACCTAACATCTAGCACATTTAAGTGGAAAGTTTCTAGATACTGTTCTCTTTAATATAAAAGTTACCAATTATTTATAATGCATCTAACATGAATTAAATAAACACCATAACCATTTATTTTTTAGATGAGCTTAATATGCTCAGAACTGAAAAGAGAGGGTTGAGACAAATTGTTTCTTGATTTGTTTTGGACAGATTGTCTGTTCACCAATGATAAATTAAGTCTCTTTAAGTTTCTTCTAACACCCTCTTCCTCCCCCTCCTTCTCCTCCTCCTCCTCCTCCTCTTCCTCCTCCTCCTCTTCCTCCTCCTCCTCATCCACTTCCTGTTTCTTGTCCTTTTCATCCTCCTCCTGTTCCTGCTTTTCCTTTGTTTTACTTTTCCTCCTGAAAATCACAAAGGAGACGACAGAAATAATAGAAATGAATTCTCAAAGGATTATGAAGTTTTAATATGACGTTTCTAACATGGGTTAGAAAATATTGGTTTGAATGAAGTCCTAAAACAAAGTTATGAATGTTTTAACGTTAGTATATATGGTGTTCTCTTCAGCAGCACATATACTACAATTGGAATGACACAGAGAAGATTAGCATGGCCCCCTGCACGAGGATGACATGCAAATTTGTGAAGTGTTCCATATTTTTTATGTCTTATAGGGTTTATACTGAGTACAATAATGTGTAACTGTATTAATTCAACACTGTGAACCTAAAAATAACAGCTAATTTTGAAAGAGATGCATTTTTGCTATGGAAACTGTTATTGTCTATGTCAATGCTGTTGTAATGAAATTCTTCCACTAATTATGTGGTCATTAAATAAATTTTAAAAAATAAAAAAATTAGTATATGTAATATATTTAACCATTTGGTACAGGTCAGACTATGGCTTAAAAATTCATTATTTATAGAAATCAGTGAATACAGAATAAAATGATCACATTCACAAAGTCATATTTCATAGCATCAGAATTCTTTTTAATTTTTTCTTGATTTACTCTAATTTTTATGTATATGAGTGTTATGCCTGCAAGTATGTAAGTGTACCCATGTTGTGCAGTGCCCACAAAGGCCAGAAGAGGGCATTAGATCCCCTGCAACTGGAGTTATGGATGGTTGTTAGCCACCTTGTGGGTGCTGGGATTCAAACCCGGGTCTTCTGCAAGAACAGCTAGTGGTCTTAACCACTGAGCAATCTATCCAGCTCCTCATCAGAACTCTAATATAAACATGTCATGCTGTAAAGCTTCATATTTAAGGAACATGTGTAAAACCCCATGGTTGTACCTGTGTGTAAATGTGTCCAGTGGCCAAGTAGCAAATAAAGAGGAGGGGATTTGATTGGAATAGTCTGATTTGACTTGTCACGCAGTGAAAATTTGCTTGATTCTGGGTTTTAAAATGTGAAAAGAACTGATAGTTAGGATATGTTAGTTGGAGGACTGATTTTAAACCTAGTGTGGACTTAGAGCCTGGAGAAAAGGTCTAGAGTTAGTGAGTTAACGTTTGAATGAGTAATTTTATGAAAGAATTAAGATTGGCCTACTGCTCTACGATTCTGAGTCCTAACAAACAGAGATAATATTGATTTTGGAAGATATTTTAGGAAGTCCTAGTTCACATTGTGTGCGAGAAAAGTGTGTGTGTGTGTGTGTGTGTGTGTGTGTGTGTGTGTGTGTGATGTATAGGGAAGATAGTGACACAGCACCTTCTCCTCACTCACTTTAGGGACTGGAAAAAGGATAACAAGTGCTTCAAAGAAATTAGAAGATGAAAGAGCTGATAGCTTCTTGGTGATTCAGGGCACTAAGGTAAGGTTATCTGGCATTTTCAATATCCTCTGGTTAATGTAAGAAATGCCACAGTGTGGGTCATGTTGATGGCCCACCAACCTTCTGTCTTCTTCAAAGGTGATGCCGATGTTTTGCAAAATGTGGCAATTTGCATCCATGAAATACTCCTCAGAAATTAGGGACTGTAACTAGAACCTGCCTAATTTCTCCTCAGTGAACTGTTATGGTTTTGTTATCCATGAATTGATCCAAATTTACCTTGACTACATTCACCTTCTCATCCTGCTCAGCTACTCTGGTATAATGAGTTCCATGTGTTTACCCGTCTGCATAAACAAGTTCTTCATGTTTGTTCTAAAGCCATGCCTCATAAGTTTTAGGATGTACTGTACATTTTAGACTTTGATCAGTAAACTCAGGATCACTCTGGTTATACTTTTCCTATGCATTAGAGAGGTGTCAATCATATCCTCTCTATTTTAGGAGAAAATTATTGTACAAATGAAATAAAGTATTCTAATATAGTCCTTCACATTGATTTCCAAACAAAATACATTTGTGTTTTTAAACTACAAAGCATTAGATTTTGGAATCTCCCAATGCCTTTACTATAGACCAGTTTTGTAATGAAGACAAAGACAAAGATTTGGTATGAAATCACTCCTAGCCAGAGCACATACAGACTTTCATAATTCACTCAGATATACCAGTCTAACCCTCAATATGTGATAAAAATTGATTATCCATTTAAAGTTGTTTCATGGGCCATGCATGTATTTCCACTGGTGTTTTAAGTGGCTTTACACAGAGTGAAATAGCATTACTTAAAAAGTAAAGTATAAACATAATATGGCTCATTTATTAAGGTCCCAATGCTACACCTGGAAGGCATTCCAAGCAGTCTGGATACATAGAAAATGCCAATGTCCTTGACTTCATAGCAATGGAGACAATTGAGATCCCTTCATATGGACGATGGCCATTCTCTCCTTCCTCTTTCACAGTAGAGGAAAGGTAGTGCTTTTATCCCTCCAGGTAGTTCAAGCCACCTTTTGTCAGGATGCATTGTTCTCATGAATCATTTGGCAATAAATGTTACAAGTAAAATTCCAGAACGGATGCACACATAGCTCAGTTACAGAAACACTGCCCTTTCCCCAAATTTCCTCTTTTCCTGCAGATCTCAGTATTGAGAAGGGATCTAGAAATGATTTGAGAACAAGCAATCAGTGAAGTGGTGCTCACAAGTACCTTCAAACACCTTATTCTTGCCGAGAATCTCTCACACTCAAACTCTAGGAAATTGTGAAGTTTGGATTAGGGCATCTTGCCCTCGTATTTTTAGACTTTCATGAGGTCATTGTGTTTGTTTATTTCCCACGTGGATGCCATGGCTTAAGCAGAGGATTCTGAGTTGGCTACAGAACTAAATAAATAATCAGAATGTGCTTAAATACTGAACTGCTCTGGTTTATAAGACAGAATCCTTCACAACTTAAAAAAGAACAGTAATGCAGGAGAAACAGGAGGAGGAGGAGGAGGAGGAGGAGGAGGAGGAGAATTATTAAGGGGCAGGAACTTTATTGTGGGTTGGCTACACAGATTCTACCTCAAAAAGACTAAAAACCTTCATTGTACCTATTAAGAATTTCAATAAGGAGAAGTAAAATAAATCCAATGTGAACCTCAAACTTGTGCCAAATCAGAAATACTGAAACATTGACAGTTTAGAATTCAGTGTGGTCAGTTTGCAATCCATAACTAAATGCATAAGAATAACTTTGAGAAGTCAGAGCAGAGTTAGTTTGAAATTTGAATAATTAAAACACATTTTCCATGAAAAAGCAAACAGAAGGTACTGTGTTTATAGGAGTGAGAGGATGCTACTAATGGAGATTAAGGATAAATTGTTATAGAACCAGGTCATGAAGAAACAGTCTTGTTGTAAGTATTTATTTATTTATTTATTTATTTGATCTTTTTGAGACAGGGTCTCCCTGTAGCCCCAGCTGGCCAGGAACTCACTATGTAGACCAGGCTGGTCTTGAACTCACGAAGATCTGCCTGCCTCTGCCTCCCGAGTGCTGGGATAAAAGGTGTGCGCCACCACATCTGGCAAACACATATTTTAAACAAAGATTTGTTCATTTGTTTCGGTTCTTGCCTTTGAGTTTCCAGTATACACAAAGTACTGTGCTAGGCATTGGGGTTACAAAGGTGAGCTGAATGTCATCCTGGCTTCTAATAAAGTCAATTTCTGATACACAAAATGAATATCTAGTGGTTTTAGAATATGAACTAATAAAGCATTAAATTCGTATAATGAATGGAGAGTGGTTAATTAATGTGATATGGATGAGAAAGGATATTCTCGTTGCTTTTAAGCTATAAAGCACAAAATAAATGCTATTTTTAAAGGACATCTTGACAATGGGTGGGGAGAGGTGAGAGATGTGGCCAAAGAAGATGAGAGAGAGAGAGAGAGAGAGAGAGAGAGAGAGAGAGAGAGAGAGACTTTTGATCTTTTGGAAACCAGAAGGCTTTCTATAGGCAGGAAAAGAAGCCAAGATGGTCCAGGCAATGGAGCCTGCATGGGCAGAGCTTAGAAGCCTAGGTTTGGGGGTTGGTTGCTGGCTGTCTCTCCAGCTGTGCATGACTGTTTTGTGTATTTTCCAGTCTCCCTGAGGTCACCAATCCCTTCCTGCCTCCTGTTACCTTTCTTTAATATCACATATCCATGGGTACTTGCTGAGTTTTCTTCCCCTCAGCTTCGACAGCTCCCTTTTCCCCTCCAGCTTCTGATTTCAAATACAAATGCAGCACGCCCGCCAACACCCGTGAGTCAACTCTTCTGCTCCTAGACCAGCCCTTTATTCTGCATCCATGATCTCATCTGCCCCTCCCTGCCTGTGATTCTCGAGCACTCCCTGGCCCTTCTCTGTCGTCCTCAGTCTTGCTTCACTATTGATGCTTTCTTCTTTTTCTTCAATTGTATATTCATATTCCCTCTATCTTTAGAAGTAGTAATACCCTCCCCTTTGCTTTCTTTCTATGGAATGCTAGTCTATTTGCATTCCCCATCTTCCGCAGGCTTCCAGAAAACTAAACCTATACTTGCCCCAACCCTGCTTTAGTACCCACTGTCTCTGCTAATTTCTTGTAACCTTATTCTATTTCCTCATAATCAATCCTTTTCTTGTGCTGCCTGGCCACATGTATTTCAAAGACTTACCAGGGACTATCTGTGGGGTTTGCAGCTCCTGTACCAATGGGCTGTGTAGGTATCTCCACTCTTCTTTGATCTGTTTTTCTCCAAAGGGTCTACATTCGCCCCTTCCTTTGCTAACTGTCTATTGTCTACCGACTTCTGCTGGTGTCAGTGCTATGCGGATACAAATAAGGTCCATTTCTGTCTTTAAGGCAGTCACCCATAGGCAGCAATGCATATCTCAATATATTAGTGTTGCAAGAAAAATAGGTGCCAAGGGACTGCTGGAAAGATGATTAGGAAGTGAGTAATTGAACATGGGCTTTGATAAAGCTTTGGTGATGACCCCTTTTGTGCTTTGTATAAGATGGTAGTTGGTAAGTTGAGTCAGTCTGCCTGGTAAAGATGCACAGTTGAGACATAGGCTGGGTAGTCACATGTCAGAAGGTGTCTGAAACCAGGAAGGTGAGTGAGAACACTAGGGAACGAAGCTTACAGAAAAACAGTAGGACTAGGGGCAGAAACTGGAAATAAAGGTAGAAGAGATACTAACTGTGAAGGAAGGCTGCTCTTTCTTTCTACCTCCTGCTCCACACCATTGCAAGAGAAATGTACTTGAAGATCTGTTATGGCCACTTCACTGC